TATCACTTGCAAATGATAAATGTAAAAGGTTAACCAACCACCAAGCAGTGAATACTATCTCACAAGCTTACACCTGCGAGCAAAGTAAAACGAGGTGAAGACTGAGAAAATTTCACCAAAAGCTGAAAAATCTGGTGTGAAAACTCCTCGTTCTCGTCTCTTGAGTGTAAGACCTTTCTCATCAAACTTTCATGTTTCCACACCACATTTTGAATTTTGTGCTAATGTGCCAATTTACTGCGATCACACACCCAAACACCCGATTTCATAAAGACAAAAAAAAAGTTTTGTTCATAACAGTTTTTCCATAAGCTTACATAGGGTAGAGAGGAATTTTCCTTGGTCGTTGGAATCTTTATCAAGTCTGCCTGTGAAATGTGACAAAATGTATGTAATTCTAGGTAAAGTGCACTGAGTGTGCGAGGTGGTATTTCATATTGCATTTAACCATTTAACTGTGATAGCAGTGACCTGTAAACACTGAGTTACTGCCATGTAAAAAACTAAACACCTAAAATGTGAGAGTTTCATCTAAAATGTTTCCACAGTGGGACAAAAAAATTACAAGCAGGGCTACAATTCAAAGTACCAGGAGAGTGGTTTGTTTAGGACTTCTAGGTTTACACCATATTGACACAAGCTCTTTTGACTAACTCCTTTGCATGGTGACAAAACGGTGTCCTTCAATCCATTTTGGTTTCTTGTCAAACAAATGAATCTTCAAGTAGTCTAAACTTGTATGTTAATACTTCATATATACATCTGGATAAGCTTCAACTGAGAGAGACTTTTACCTGGTCCACCTGGTTGTATCTGGCAATGTCCTTGTGCAGGGTTCTCAGCATGATCATGGCAACCATGCCAGACAGGAAGAGGACAATGACGAGGGAATTCATGATGCTGGAGAAAACACACAGGACATATCATAGTATCATGGCATCAGCTGACAAGAGTGTTTCTCAGGTGTACTGTGTGAAAAATGGCATCATACCTAAACCACTGGATGTTGGTATGAGGCATGGAGACCAGGATGTAGTCCCACCTAGAGGCCCACTTGATTGAATTGTCAACCTGTTAAATGAAAGAAATGTATTGAAAAAAGCACTGTCTTGTTTTCACATTATCTCCGTTTGATAGAAACAGTTTTGGATTAGTTGCATTATGAAAGTATTATATGGTTTAGATGCTGACCTCAAATGTGACTGAGTAGGTGTAAACTACAGAGATATCCTCATTTAACTCCACAGGAACCTCCATTGGGGTTGTTCCATCACAGCTTGGGTTTTTTTCATCTGCTTGTTTGATACTGTTGCAGACAAAACACACAAAACCGTTCAGGTCAGATTATAAATTAGGCTAGTACTAAGTTAAAATGGTGGGTTGTCACTCAGCCGCTGCATGTCGAGGAAGATTAGACATAAAGCAAATCAAGTGTCTATTGCCAACCAACATTTACCTCTTTGGCTCCAGAGTGGCAGTGACCAGCCGAGCGCCTCTCCATCCCTCTGATTCTCCACTGTGGTATTTTATATGTATGTCCACATGGTTGAAGACATAAAATGTGTTCTTCTTGTGGAAATCAGACTGGAAAAAAAAAATCAGGTACCCAGGTTTGTCAGGGAAGGATTTGTAAAACAAAACTTAACATATAAAGTGGAGTATAAAGAAGAAAATAAGACGAGAGACAGAAATCACGACTCACATTAATGACACAAGCATCTTTGGGTCTGCCATCTGCCGTAACAAGGCAGCCAATGGGGAAGCCTGGGTTGCAGTACTTCTGACCATCTTCCACATCATAGCACCATGTCACCGGCATGTTGTCGATGATCCTGAAGGAATAATCGGTTAATCTTTATCTTTACTGCATTCATGGATGAAATTTCCATACTATGAGTGCTGTAGTTCAGTACTTTGCATAATTGACTAACCAGTGGTGTTGGTAGTTCAGCTGCATTCCCATCTTGAGAAAATCAAGTCTGGCTACATCTTCCTGGGAGGTTTTCTGGTAGTTCTTTGTGCACACTGCCTTGCATTTAATAGCTTCATTAAAGTTGAACTGTAGAAGGAAGATTAGAGTCTTGTTGCATTAAGAAAACATAAAAAAATGAGTTTGGGATCAGGGGTGGGACAAAATACTTAGATGGGAATATATCGTTGTCCTGAATCCTCAAATATGATTATTGATATGCTTTGTATTATGATATTATCATTATTATGGGCCATGTATGGTGTCTCATAATGTAGAACGTGACCCTATGATTCCCATCACTACTTGGTGTACATTTTAACAAGGGAAAGCAGAGGTGTTCACTTGTACATACCTTGTAGGGAGATGATTCAATTCGTTCTCCAAACAGCACCTGTCCAAGGTTCTCAGAAGGCCTCTTTTCCTTAACATCTTTGCAAAAGTCGAACCTTTAACAAATTCACAGATTGGTGCAGAGAATGAGAAGATGACAATGGGATGGGAAATATGTTCTTGTGACCAGACATGACACAAATAGCATCAAGCAGAATGGCGATGATACTTACACATCATACTCGTAAGGCAGGACTGACTCCACTGAATCCAGTCGATTGACAAACAGCTGAATCAATGTCTGCAAAGAAGCAAAGGCAGTTTGTTTTACGGTTGTCTCACGTGTTCAGTAGCTCTGTGGGATAAACCCTGAGCTGCGAGTTAACAGGCTAAAGGCTAACCCTATTGAAATCTGAATTGGTGCGGTGACAGGTAAATGCTAGAAGGTGAAAACCCACCCACACACACTCACACCAGAAAGCTCATTTACTGTCTTAGCATTGATAGACAGTGCTTACACACAACAACCGAGGCTGCGATGCATGGGAACACTCTGCTAGTGTTCCCGGTAATAGCCGGGGCCTACAGGGAGCACTGGTTTGCTAGCAAGATCCAGGAAGTACATTCCGTACGAAGACGCCCATTCAAACTATAGCAGTAAAAACCCTCCACCACGTCAGATAATACAACTTATTATAACTTTGAAGGGACCGTACCGGACAATCGTCGCCACCTTTGCCGTCTTCACAGAAACTCACTGGGGCCAAACCCGGAAGATAGAACGCCGAGCACGCAGAGAAATGCGAGACCAGCAAATACACCAGCGCAAAACCGACGTGTATCCGCCTCTTCATGTTTACCGACGGGGCTTCGACGCTCTGGTTGCGGTGGTGGGAACAGAGGGGCTTCCTTCTTCCCGGGGCAGGCGGACTGCAGCTCGCTTTTCTCGGCTCGCTGGTTGTTTGTGCTCGGGACACGGAGGCTGCGCTGACCCGACCTGACAACGTTGATGACGCCCGACTCAGCCACGGCATCAGCACCGGAACTGAAACCTCTCACCTTCAATATAAAAGCACGCACTAAATAATGACTCTGGCGTTCTGTATTCCTCACATGCATATCTGGTGCTATGGATGCACCAGCTCGTTTATTGTATCTTCTGTGTGGAATATATATATTTAAAAAAAACTATTCTTTTATTCATTAAACGGTGCGACCATACAGTGGCAGTACTTTTACTTTGAAAGTCAGGAAGTCGGATGTCACATTTGACGGTTTCAACGTGGAAGTAACACTGACGTTGCTGATCGATGTTAGATAAATGACACCTGAAACAACTTGTATTTCTTGGTAATAACAATTACTCTCAGTCTACACTGCATTGAAATCAGAAAACCCTGTAAAAATGTAAGCTTGTCAGTTACTGTGAGTGTTGGACGAAACATTTAAGGTATGAGAAGGCAAAACAGAAGAGGCGTGTAACTACTCTCATGTTACACGAGCAAGTAATTGTAAAAGGCTGCAGGACAAACTTGAAAAGCCGGAATGGCAACAGTAATGTTTGTGCAATACGATGCAGTATACAGCACCACTCAAAACTATAACCCTCAATAGATTTCTGAAGTGAACAGAAGTAAATACAAGCCACACAGTAAGTGAACATGTGTAACAGACAACAAACGACCTTTCTGCACCTAAATAGTGACTTGAGCTTTTTTGTTAATGCAAACTTCATAGAATTAAGCTAACTGAATTATCATTAAAATAAAGTCTTTTATTGAATGTTTATTTTAAAATAAAGGGACATGGTAAATGAAAGGATGGTGGCGTTTGACAGGTGGTGATTGTCAAGATAGAAGATTTGTGCATCTTTAAAACAGGCCTCTGGATACACTCACGCGGGGGCTAAAGAATCTTGCCTGGGGAAATGAGGCCATAACTTTCATCTGGCTAAACAGGTCAGGCTGGGAGAAGCCAGTGAAACAAGCTGACTGAGACTGAAGAACTGATTTCTGGAAAGTAGATTAACTATTTGACAAAATGTGTCCATGTGTGCAAAAATAGTAATCAATACTGGCAATTTATTGGTCTGCAACAAATTATTGGGCACCAAAGGGCTCGGTTTTGTTCAAAAATATTGAGGAATTTGGTCCAGTCTTTTCTTTAAAAATCACTCGACATGCAAACAGAAAGTTAAAGTTTCCACCCATTCAACTTGTAGTTACTTTACTTAAATGTTATGCATAATGATTTTACAGTACGTGCAGTGTTTGATGTCTTATTCAACTGCTGAAGGGTAGAAATTCTCTACATTCCACACATCTAAATGGAGGAGAATGAAACCCATCGTCTCTGTGTTCAGAAGGGACCTGATGGAGAATCATCTCAGTGCCTTAATGGAAGGGAAACATGCCTCTCGTCCAAAGGCTTATGAAGACCTTAAAATATATGAGGACCTCTAGTGGAACCTATTGATATGATTGTATCATTTAATTTGTATTTCATTTATATATATTAATTAATTTACTTATTCAGCCTTGTTATTCTTGTTTTATTTGTCATGAATTAAATGCCTTGATATTTGACCTATTCAAGTTTTCAATAAAAACAACAAACAAACAAACAAAAAAGATAGAAGAAAATAATCTTGATTCCTGGTTCTGGTCTATAGGTGGCGGTGTCACGCGGCGGAGCGTCTGGTGCGCCGGGAGCAGAGCGTGAGAAGAAGAAGGAGGGCGGAGTGGGCGAAGCTGTTGTGTAGCTTCAGAGTCTCGGCGCTGATCAGCCTGGAGGCCGCTGCCTGTGATGCCAACTTACTCCGTCTAATCTACTCTGTAGTTTTATCGTAGATGTTGTAGAAGTAGCGTGCTGGCGTTAGCAAAGCTCAGCGCCCTCGTTAGCAGCCGGATCACCCGTTAGATAGCGTTAGCCAAGTAACTAGCGGCGGGCGCTTTATCGCCATTTTGCGCATTCAACAGCCCGGGACTTTCGCCAGCAGCAAGGTAACAACCGCAGAAACACACCGAGGACAAAACTTTTCATCTGAAGCTCATAGTCGCAGTAACGTTCCACGATCCATTGTGTGTGGCAGGTGGTTGATTGTGCAGCATGGCAGAAGCAGACCGACCCGGAAAGCTCTTCATCGGGGGACTGAACACGGAGACCACCGAGAAGGCCCTGGACCAGTACTTCAGCAAATATGGCAGGATTGTCGAAGGTGTGTATGGAGCCATTTTAACGCCCACCACTTACCGTAGTTAACTTTGAATACAACGTTGGAATGTTAAACATGCAACTCTGCTTTAGGGTTCATTCAAAAAATGCTCAGCTTTTGCCGATCAACACTTCACCAGATGTTTGTGCACTTACGTGAATCCAAGTGTGAGGGCGACAGATGTGTACAAGAGTGAATTTCATCTTGGTCTTTTCTCCCAATTAAATATATAAATCTAATTAAGTGGTTTTGTATTTTGAATATCATATAATGTTTATTATCTCTTACTTAATCCCAATTTTCTCTTGTTTTCGGGATATATTGAAATCTAGTCTTGAAGGAGGAAATGAGAAAATGTTAGAACCGTAAAGTAAGCATTCTGAATAAAATTGAAAGCAATCTTTTAGTAACAGTAAGTACATTGGGGGTAAATATTACAAGTTAAACTGCTGTAAAATAGTAATCGTTTGTAAATGATGTAATCAACCTAAACACAAAGTACAAGCTATCAGTTGTTATCTCTTAATTTCAGTTATTTTGATGAAGGACCGTGAAACAAACAAATCAAGAGGATTTGCTTTTGTTACTTTTGAAAGTCCGGCAGATGCGAAGGATGCGGCACGTGAGATGAACGGAAAGGTAAGGACTGACGTTAATCAGCCACACTCCCCTAAGAAATCTGCTTTGAATTGTGATTGAAAATGGAATTCTTTTACTACAGTCTCTTGACGGCAAGCCAATCAAAGTTGAGCAGGCTACAAAGCCTCAGTTTGAGAGTGGAGGCAGGCGAGGACCTCCACCCATGTACTCCCGCAGTCGTCCACCCAGAGGAGCCCGTGGTTCCAGGGGAAGTATTGGTGGAATGAGGGGCCCACCTTCCAGAGGTATATTTTTATTTTCCAATTGTAAAACGTTATCTTGTTGTTCTGTTTTTTTAGCTTAGTTTGTTAATATTTGTATCTCTTGTCTGTGTGAAGACTACTATGATAATTCAGGAAATGGAGAACCCTTCTTCAAAGGGATGTCATCCAGAGGCCCCCCCCCCATGAAGAGAGGACCCCCAGTACGTAATGGAGGCCCTCCACCAAAGAGGTCCGCTCCATCTGGTCCTATGAGCAGACGTAAGTATGAGAGAATTCTATTGGTACTGGATTGGCTTCCTGTATCTCAGATTGATTTTTTTAATGAACAAGCTTTTCTGTCTTTGCTTTCTAGCATCCATGTCAAGGGACAGGGATCCATATGGTCCACCCCCTCCTCGCAGAGACTCCATGATGTCCAGGAGAGACGATTATCCATCACCACGAGATGACCATTACAACTCAAAAGACAGGTAAACAATTTGCATTTAATTTGATATAATTTGAGCATTTTTGCTTGTGTCTGAAATCTGCTTAAATAACTAATTTAATACTGTAATGATCATGGGTAAAAACAAAATACAGAAATTCCGCTCCCATTTGAAATTTTAAAGACGATGATTACAGCTCTGCAGTTAATTGCATTATGTTTTCCAGCTACTCCAGCCGGGATTACAATTCCAGAGAGTCAAGGGATTATGGACCTCCCCCCAGAGATTATTCATACAGAGAATACACAAATTCCACTTCCCGAGATGATTATGGCTCAATGTCAAGAGGATACAGGTACTTGAATTAACTGATACAAATGATTTGAAGATTAAATCATCACATTGGGTTATCAAATGACAATCGTTTGTATTATGTAGTGATCGTGAGGGTTATGGCGGAGGCCGCGAAGCCAGAAGCTATATGGACCGTCCGAGTGGTGGCTCCTACCGAGATTCATACGATGGTTATGGTAAGCTACGACTCCATGAATGTAATAACCACTGTGGCACAAAGAAAAGCTGCACAAATAACCAACCGAATCATAGCTTTGACTACCGCAATCTCCAGTCAGAAGAAGCTGCAGTTTTTCCCCACCCCAGAAGAAATGACTTATCAGGCAGCCTCGTAACTTTTTTCTTTTCCCTCTTCTGCATCCTTGACCTGCAATCCAAGCTGCATATTTTCACGCTATTAGAAGTCCTTAACCATTGGCATCGCAAATTAGAAACAAAATTCTATTCCAAAGCTGTTTCTTCATATCTAAGTCCATAGTACCGCTACATTCCTCAAAAGATTCAGTTTTTGTGGCAACATCAAGCAGAATATTTGCAACCTTAAGGAATCTCAAAAAAAGTCCTTGGAAACATCTGTTGAGCACTCAGTATGTGTTGCCTAGCAAAGCACTCCCTCAAGGAGTAACCTTCACAAAACCATCAAGACAACTCTGAAAACCTCGACCTTAACCTCCAGTTCTAACTCTTGGAGCTCTAAATGGAAAAGGCTTCTCAAATCAATGGCATGCTGAAATGGGTAACAATGCCCATTAATTCCCTGTGCTTGGATACATTACTGCTGATATCAACCAAGTATAGCATAACATGATGGGACATTTAAATATGTCGTCCATTCAATTTATTTTGCACAAAGTGAATTCTAATGGCAAAAAGTGGGCACCTGGCAGTGCGAGAATATGTATAAATTAAACCTTGCCAATTACCTGACCATTGACCCTGCAGGTAACTCTCGCAGCGCCCCACCTTCAAGGGGCCCCCCACCATCCTATGGTGGGAGCAGTGGAAGCAGTCGTTATGATGACTATGGCAGCAGTACCCGGGATGGCTATGGCAGTCGTGACAGTTACCCCAGCAGTCGGAGTGACCCGTATCCACCTAGCCGTGGTGAGCGTTTGGGCAGGCAGGAGAGGGGCCCTGCTCCCCCTGTTGAGAGAGGCTACCCTCCTCGTGATTCGTACAGCAGCTCAAGTCGTGGAGTGCCTCGTGGGGGCCGCGGGGGCAATCGAGCCGATAGAGGAATGGCTCGCAGCAGATACTGAACTGGACTTGGAAATCGCATTAAAGCAAACGTTGGTCTCCGTGCACAGTAAACACGTGTTCTGGATGAAACCTGACAAGACAAACTAGCCATGTCTAAATCTGTGGATTATAAAGCTTAGCTTTAAACTCTGTCATGACTTTCCCAGTTTTTTATGTGTAAAATGACTTTTGTTTTTGTTTTTTTTAGTATTTCTCTTGCTCATGTAACAGTACAGTTACCAAGTGAGTGTTAGTTTTTGTACATTCAGTGCTGTTGGAATCTGCAATGCCCTATAAGTCTGGCTACTCTAATAAAGCTTTTAGTTGTACCTTGACCACTGCTCGTCCATTTTCGAAACAAGATCAGAGACAGTAACATGAATGTGAAGTAACAACATGAATCTCTGTAAAGCCGAGTCTCTGCTCATACTATATAAACAGCCAAGTGACTTAAGTTCATTCTTAACACTCATGTACCTCCACCTGGACGCTACTGTTTTTAAGGGTTAGGGAAATGTTGCTGTCAAAATGTTCCAATGTAGTTTCCTTGGAAATGGATCCATCACCCTAGAGCCATATGATGGCATGCAACGACAAAACCAAAGGCAACAACAACCAAATGCAACCCGACTGGTAGTCAACAGCTGGTAAGCAAAGCAAACCTCTTTGTTTCTCGTCTGTAACTGAGTTTCTCATTGTCCTGTATTGCAATCTCCACTCAGAAGGGTTCAAGATGGCTTTTGCTACAGTGGACAAAAGACAAAAGGAGGTCAACTGAATGAGCCCTTTTCACCGTAGTCCGTTTTCATCGGCTAAAATTGTCAAGTGAGAAACATCCGAAGTCAATGAAAGCCGTAACAGACACCACCTGAGCCCTCAAAACAACCTTTTTGCCTTCTCAATCGTTCACCCTGAGAAAAGTGATTGGCAACTGCATTGTTATCTCTAAGGTAAAACATGTCTAGTTATTTTTTTAAGACTTTTTGGGGGGAGTAAAAAATTAAAAGCCATTTTTTAAATCCAGAGCCATTTTCTCAGTATGGAAACCTTTTCCACAAGCATGCCAATTCAAACAATGGAGACCTCTGGAAGAACAGCATTGTCCTCACTGCCAAACTGGAAACGATCACTGAAGCGAATTCAAGTCGGAACAAGGACTGCAACATAATTTCCAATTATTTTATGAATACATGACAAGGACATGGGCAACATTTTAAATATTCTGTTCTCATTGCAGGATGAACGTCCCTCCAAGGCAACGGCCCTTGCAACGTAGCTGACTTGTGTCCTGGAGACGTTGAACCAGTGAAGCAGCAGTGCACTTGTCCAGGTTTGTCAACCAGACAGATCATATAATAATAGTTATGGTGGTGAAGTGGATTTTCATTGCTGTGTATGTATATAAACCAGTTGTCATTGTTTTACTGTGTTTTAGATGCTGCCACAGGCTTCTGTTGAGAGTGGCGCTCAAGACTTTTCAAGCGGATCAACGTGTCGACAGTGGGGAAGAACAACGGCTGAGGATTTGCTCATAATTCACAGTTTCTGGTGGTTTCAATAAAGAGTTTTTAAACAAGAGCTTTGTTTCCTCGTCATGAAAGAAAAATGAAAATAGCACAATTTTCCACAAAGGCATTTTAGATGATGGTTTAGTTATAAGGACTTTTTTTCATAACCTCTTGGGAAAGAGGCTTGTCTAATGGTGACGTCCTCCTGCAAATATCCAGTTAAAGTATTTTGCAAGTGGCCGTTGCAAAAATCATAGCTTGGTATTGTTCTCTAGAAATTGGTGCATGACCCATTTGGCATCAGAGTGGATTTCCATGCCAATGTTGTAATGGATGTCAGCAGACTGCATGTCAGGCCCACTGATCACATATCCTGAAGCACTCCCAGAGTAGTATGGTGTGTTTTTCCACATCAGATATCAGGTCCCTGGTGGTGTTTGTAATATAATGAGTGTGAATTCCCAGTGTCAGCATGTGGTTCTCTGCAGAGGAAAACTCTCCAGTATATTGTTGAGGTGCCTATTTGCCAGTAGGGGTGATCATCAGTTCGGAGTGTAGAAACACCGTCCTTCCCCCACCTCCTTTTTTTTTTTTTTTTTTACTTGTGGCAGAAGTGCGGATGTGAGTTGCACATTGATACGGAACAGGCCGCCACTTTTGTCGTTGTTCTGTCCATATATTTTTGTGTTTAGCCATGCGTGCACACGGGCGATGATCATTTTGTGGAGCCATGAATCCAGAGGAGCAGACGGTAACGTGGTTGATCTCGCTGGGAGTGCTCAGCTCGCCCAAAAAGAACATAGCGGACCCGGAGGAGTTTCTGAAAAGCTCGCTGAGGGATGGGGTCGTCCTGTGCAAGCTCACCGAGCGGCTCGTACCTGGCTTCACCCCCAAGGTGAGTGGGAACTTAAAAAAGCCAGTGGGACTGAGCTCTTGTTTGCGGAAGAAAAGGAGGAAGGGAGGGGTGGTTGTTTGATGCAAGTGATACCGACATAACTTCTCCCTGCTGCGGGCCTGGCGGTCATGCAGCTCGGGATAAGTCTTGTGTTCGGAGCTCCGTGCATCGAACTGCAGCGGCATTTCGGCGGGGTTTCAAGGCGTGCTTTCCCGCGGAGCTCACGGACAATGTTCCGCATTCTTGACACGAGTGAGTCGGAGTGAACACCCACCAAACACACGACCCACTCGGGCAGAGAGAGAGCACTCAAACACCGAGGCCGTACCGAGGCGACGGCGGAGGTTTCCGCAACGCTTCTTTCTTTTTAAACCAACTTTTTTCAGTATTGACAAACGCGTTGACAGTGGATCTCAAACACACGTTCTTTATTATTGAGGTGACAAAACTTAATAAGGATAAATAACAGTTGCAAAGATGGTTCGTCACTTCCTCCTCAGATCCCCCTCGGCTCTTCCCGGTGCGAGCAGCTAGCTTAAAAAAAAAACCGGAAGTAGCACGGAACTAGCAACTTCTCCCTTGTGAGGTGTAGCTGTTTACCCTCGTTTGTTGTTCTTTCTATTTCGCATGACACACGACACATTTTGGTTTAATTAAAAGTAGTGGGAGTAGAACCAGCGTGTTCATTTCCCACGTCCATTGATGGGGGTGCTTTTATTTTGAAAGTTTGAGAAGTGAGCGGATGTTTTGCTCTAAGTTGCAGCTTTGACGTGTCTGCGCTGTTAATGGTTGTGTGTTGCACGAAGGAGACGCAGGAAGAACCGCAGTTATTCTCTTAGACTGCAGGTCTCCACGTTTGGATCATCGCAGCAGTGTTGTTTTATATTTTCTCTGTGTGTAAGTGAATTAACAGCAGCATTTTCTTAACTCGTAGCGTCAGATAAGAGCTTGTGTCAGATCCCTATCTCTCCTTTCCTTATTTGTTTATATATTTATGTCGTGTGTGTTCAGTATTGCCAGGATCCGAGAACTGAAGCCGACTGCCTCTCCAACATCAGGGAGTTTCTCAGAGGATGCTCGTCCTTGAAAGTGGAGGTAAGAGTTTCCTGTCAAGTTTTCAAACCCACGACGTTGTGATCTGTGTCCCTGACCGTGATCTCCTTACTGCAGTTCACAGAGGACACTTCATCACACTGTCTGCTGGTTGTGTGATCTGCTTAACTGACATATGTTTTCTTTCACACGTCCCTGTGGAGTGAGCCATATTAACAACTGTCTGAGGGAAGCGTCTGTTTTCAAATTGACAACTTTCAACTGTGTTTACTTCCTTATCAATCCCCCCTTACTTTTCATGCTTTTTCTTTTGCTTGTTTTTTGCTGCAAGTTAAAAAAATCCCTGTAACCCGCACTGCTGCCTTATGTTACTTAAACTATGTTCTAATGTTGCAAAGTGTCAAATCATTTGCAGATGTTGGGTTTTTTTTCTCCATCTCTGCACCAGCCTTGCTTCAGACTGGCCACACCGGACAGTCATTTCTCCTCGAGCTTTATAAATAATCTCTTTCTGGTCTTGAATCACATCAGTTGGTTTCTTTAAACGGTATATTGAGTCAGTCTGGCTCACTGTGAAGTCAAGTGGTTCAGTAGTTCTGCCCAGCTGGCTTGTTATGTCTGGGAGGTCCCCTTTGCTTTTATCCATGAACCCTGTCGTAGCCCATAATTAGACCTTTTTTTTTGTGGCCGACCAGTAGCTTGTGGGCAGAGGCTTTTAGAGATCTACTGTCAAATGTATCAGCCAGGGGATGTATGTGGCACTGCAAAAAAGCCCTGCCCATGCTTTGGTCAGTGATGTGATCATGGTTGAAGAACTCTCTCTCTCTCTCTTTCTCTCTCTCTCTCTCGCTCTCTTTTATTTTTGGCAAAGTGAATTGTGCCCGCTTGTCCTGTGACTACACAAAGAAAGCAGTCATACTATTTTCACTTCTGCTCTGAGATGCAAAAAGAGGAAGCACCAATTACTGCTCAGAATATCTGTTGTGTTATTATTTATGTGCTCCTATTTAACGCACTACTTCAGAGTAACATTTGTAATGTGACTCATCTGAAGCTAATGACCCCAACTACAGTCAAGGTCTCACAGTTATTTCTGATCCAGCTCAATACGATGACGTGAGACCCGTTTACTCCTTCATTTTGTTTCATCAGTGCGAATGGATTTTTCCAGGCTGTTCCGCTTTTAATACCACTGGTGTAAAAGCATTATGCAAAGCGCTAACAAATCTTTCTCACTGTTTCTTTTACATGATGGAAAAACACGCTGAGTAAAAATATGGTAAATCAAAGAAGTACTGGTCACACTTACTTTAAGTCTGAATGAGGTCATACACGACTCCTGACCAAGGCTGTTCCACTCAAACTCTATATTTAAGATGTTTTATTTAAAATGTGAAACTGAATCTGCTGGAGGAAAGAGGATAGCCGTCTGAGACAGAGCGAGCAGCGTGAGATTGGGAGTGCGCGCTCGTTTACGAATCACAAATGAGTCTGGCACTGTCTGTTTGAATACAAACTGCTAAGTCACAAAATATGGGTCGTGCGCAACATGTCAGTTTTTATCTCTGTCTTGTATGCTTTTTTTTTCAAATCCCTATGTGCTCTTCATAGTGTGTGTGTGTTGTTTGTGCTGCAGCCTCTCCCTCCCTCCCCTCTCTCTCTTCATCTGTGTGCACTTACCAAGCATTAATGCTCAGATCAGTGCAATCAGTAGAAAAAGTTCCAATTATGACTTTCTATTCTTTCACATCTGATGGATTCCAGGTTCTATGAACACACGGTTTGGGGATTTTTTAAAAATCTTTTGTTCTGAAAGCATCCTCTCTGTTCCTTTTTCATCCAGGGGTTTGAACCAGAGTGGTTATACACCGGCGAGAACTTTGGCAAAGTCCTGACCACTTTGCTGGCAGTCAACTTTGCCACACAAGGTAAGAGTCTTTCTCTGTGTTTCCTTCCCCCTATAGTGGGGACTGCTGGGTAATATTTATATGATTTTTTTTTTTTTTTAGCTTTTACATCACAGCATCCTGATGCATGAAAGAAGTCCAAGTCTGCATATCATAAATAAATGCTTCATGAGGATTTCCCCAGTATACATCGCTTCATATTAGCAGTGGCCAGCGGATGCTTTGTGCTTCATATCTTTTTTTACTCTTTCAGTGCAGCTCTTCTGTTTTACCCATGGGCAGCTGGCATGGCAGTGTGTGTTTGCATCATGCTGGGTGCCATATTTACTCATGTGCATCCATATCCTTCATGCACCATGGATGATATCCTTCTTTGTTGGCTGATTATTTTTGGTACATTGAAATTAAGCTCCAGTATGATGCAAAATCCTCAGTGTGGCTGAATACACACACTACAGCAGCGGTTTAGGGCTAATTGCTCTAGAACCCAGGTTTTGTAGCAGTAAAGAGGTAAAAACCAGTCCCCCTCTCTTGTTGCCTGAGAACCAGAACCTTTTAGACCAGTCTGCCATCTCTGCACGATTTAGAACGAATGTATGTTCCAGGCTATTTGAGAACATTGTGTTTATGACATTCCTGCATATATGCAGATATATATAAATATACATATATGACTGACAGTAAGGATTGGAGCCTGATATTTATTTTCATGGTTGATTATTATATTATTATTCTAATGTCAGAGCACTGTGAAATTAGGCAGCTTAGAAGTTTCCCAGATTCAGAAGTGATGTTTTCAAATAGCATATTACCCAAATATTCAGTTAAGAGTTATGTAAAACAAACAAAGACACAACGTCCTCATGATCTAGAAACTATTGGCTGTAAAGGTCTGTTATCTTTGTTTGATGAATTTCAATTTTCAGTTTTTTGACCCATTGATTAAAAGGTTAATTGTTTCTATAATACCTGACGTGACCTGCCGCACCTCCCTTTTGTGATATTTTACACTCGCTGTCACTTTGTTAATATATGATCAATCTCTGGAGTGCACATAAATGGAAGGGTTGATGCACGCCACCTTGTGAGATGTGGATCAGAAGCCTCTGCCGGTGCTGGGGCTCTGCTTGATATGCAAATCCGTTATAGGCTGGCCAGTGGCCATGCCTAGCAGCTGTTCTCTCATCTTCAGAGGTGAACTTGATTTGAAGTGGATTAGTCACAAGTTACTTGATATAATCAAACAAAAGAGGCCTCTGTGTTTTTACTCATGATCCTCCAAGCCTTGCCTCTTCCCTTCCTCATGAGTTTCAGTTCGAGGTATTAATGTTTGTTCAGGGTAAATACTTTGAACAATGCCGGCATACAGATATGACAATGTTCGCCACAGAGCGCTCAACTAATAAAAGGGCTTTTTGGGATCCTGTGTGTGTGTGTGGAGGGAGTGGCATGTGGGATCCATGAGTTCCACCAGTATATGTGGACTATCCCGCTGCCTTAAGTGTTATTTTCATCATATCAGTTCTACCTCAGTGTGATGCACCCTGACGTCTCAGCATATGGAAAACAGTAGGGAATCTCCAGCATTTTTCCATCTAAACATACATGACATAAATTCCACAACACGAGCTGATTAAACGACAGAAAGCGTTACCATAGCACATGTTACTGCCCCCAAGGAAAAGTGCACTTAAGCTTATGTCAATTTTATAGTTTCTGAGTTGAACTCCGTATTTAATCTTAATTAAGAGGAGACTAATGATCCACGCTCATTATTTTTTGATCCTTCTGTAATTTGCAGTAGGAGTAGACGGTAGACCTAATGCTAGCATCAAGTTGAAACTTGAGAGGGAGTCATCAGGGAGTGTGTTTCTGCTTTTCAGCCTGTGTGCGGCTGCGTGGCTGTCATGTGTCACTTTTCAATTGAGCGCTGGGAAGAAAATTACAACCCCTGTCAGAGCGTTTCAAGGATTGCACTCACTGCAGAACAGCTGGCAACGACTGAACCTAAATCACTGCTGCAGTGGCTCAGTGATGACACTGTGGAGGCTTTGGCTGTCTATAATGTAAATCACCTAGTAGACTGTATATCTTATAGGAGAGGTTTGTAGGATATATGTTTGAATTAGTCAGAAGGAACGTATTTGCTGCACTGTACGATCACTTAGACATACTTATATCATGATGTATAAACTTAAAAGTTCCTTCTCCCCTTTTCCAGCTGCTTGCTCGTGTTGGATCAGTGCAACAGTTTTATTTAAATCAGATTGTTCTGACATTGTAAATGTGTTTACACATGTTCACTGTCCTGTGGTTGTGCAGAGCAATGGACCATACTCACATGAATTATCATCAAGTATGTGTACCTGTGTCAACACGATTACAACCGAAATAACGGAGGCTCCATGTTTCCTCTGTGTGTTTGTCCATAGACTGTGCTGCAGAGAGGTCATGTCCACAGTCCGGTGCCCATTCTCCTAGTCAGTCGACGTCTTCACACACATTCTCCTCTGCCAAATCCAAAGGCTCCCTGCGCAGACAATCCAAATCAGTGGTATGGTCTCTTCTATACGTGTCTACATTTTCTGTCCACTGCTCACTTAATGTGCTCGAAACTGTTCAATCCAAGTTCGACTTTCTTAATTTTTACATTGGATTTGTCAGGTCATTTGATATGTTTTACCCCACATTTAATTCACTTACACAACTAGAATGGCTCAGTAGAGCGCATACCGCCGCCAAAAAATGTTATGTGTTTTTTCTTGTCCCATGTCCGATTCTCCACCAAGTTTCCTGGAAAAATGTGCATTAGTTCTTGCATAAGCCTTCAAATAAACAAATAAATAGACAGGGGTGAAAACATAACTGCTGTGGCGGAGGAAATGAAGATAATTATATCAACAGAAGCACAAACATAACCCGAGCCTTATTTAAAAGAAACAAGTTCAATCTGGGGAGTGTATGTTTTTAATTGCCCTGCACAGCTTATATGTAGACGCATAAAGATATTTTTGTTGTTATGCCCCGTGACATTTGTCTTTGTGACGCTGACGTCTCTTTAACAGGAGATGTCGGAGAACGGCGGAGGGGGGCAGCAGATGGTGAGGGCCCGCTACAACTTCAAACAGAACAACGAGGATGAGCTGTCATTCAATAAAGGTGAAATGATCCTGGTGACACGGCAGGAGGAGGGAGGATGGTGGGAAGGCACACTCAATGGCAGGACGGGCTGGTTCCCCAGTAACTATGTCCGGGAGATCAAACCCTGCGGTGAGTCAGGCCACAGTCGGAACCATTCGTTCCTGAGTGTGGATTTCATTACAAACATTTCTTAGAACAAATGCCATTTTTTGGAAGAGTCGTAGAGTAGCAACAGTATAGAATAATGGTCTTTTGGCATTTTTCTGGCTTTGGAGGAAAGAAGCTGTTTGAAAAAGAGTCTTGTTGCAAAATGAATATACAACTGCATAATGTCTTTGACCTGATTTGTGTTCCAACACAATTAATTAACTAAAAATATAATTGTGTGCAGGAGAGAATATGCCATGGAAATGCTGAGGTCTTGTTAGTCTAAAAAGGGTCTTACTTATTTGTTATGCACCATAAGTCATTTGTGGAGGTCATTAAAGAACTCCTTTCTATATGAGGAGAAAATAATAATTTCAAATTCATTTGTATATTTGAAATGTTTCTGAGGATTTGGTAAGTTCTTACTATTTATTTCTTATCTCCTCTACAGAGAAGCCGGTGTCTCCTAAAGGAACTCAGCTGACCAAGAACTACTACAGTGTGGTGAGTGAAACTTCTGTGCGACGTTTTTCTGGTGCTGTTCTTCATATCAGTTACCTTGAGTGATGTTTTTTCATCCAGATCTATGTACAGCTGAAAGGATTTTATTATACACAGTCTATGTGTGGTGGCCAAATTGATGCTTTGCTTGACATTGAAAACTATTGAGTCCATACATTTGACAAAATATAATTTGGTCAGTCAGTGATTTTTCTACTTATTAGACAGTAGAGCAAAATTAAGTGACATCCGGATAGTGATGGATTTTATTTTATATTTGCTTTTCTGTTTGTACAGTTTTCAATAGATAAGTAACTTCTCCATTTGTATTTACTCTGTATTACCTCTGCATCCCTTTTGTTTAATTGACCTAAATAAGAAACAATGGAGTTCTGAGGACTAATAAAGACATGTTCATTATCATTAACTTGTTTAATCTGAATTTGTAAATGCTGTTGTTTTCTTGGAATCTGACAATATTAACCAGACGTTTTTCTGCTGCTTTCTCAGGTGGTACAAGACATCCTGGAACATGAGCGAGAGTTTGTGAAAGAATTACAAACTGTGCTGAGTTGTTACCTCCGACCTTTGCAAGCCAGCGACAAGTAAGAGCAAATAACTCAGAGGGTGATTTATTAATGTGCAAAAGATTTCAAATGAGGAAAACAGAGGACAGTCTGAAACAACAAGAACATCTCCTTTTGTTAACTGGATGATCCAGAATGATTGAATTTCAGTGTCTTAATTATTGCTGCACTTGATATGAAGTTTTCTGAAATATATCTGTACTTTCATCTTAAACCTACTTTCATTGTGCAAGTCCTAGCACTAATACTACATCTGTGTGTATTCAGGCTGAGCAGTGCAGACAGCGCCACCTTGTGTGGAAACCTGGAGGAGATCCTGAACTTCCAGCAGGGACTATGTATTTCTTTGGAGGACTGTACCAAGTAAGTCGAGCTGGGCAAGGACCTTTCATGCAAAGTTTTCTATTTAGATCAGTTATTTTGCATTCTGTCATGTCATTATGTGTTACATGTCAATTTCTACACAGAGCACATACTGTGTTGTACAAAGCACATCATACTTATTTGTATTATCCTTCCTCCCAGACCTCTCTCATAGTCATTTCTTTACAGTACAAATATTAACTTACTGAAATATTGTAATCAAAGTTACCACCTGTGCACAATTTATAAATGTGCATATTATCTGGTGCATTTCCTTCATGCACTTTCAGGGAAACTCCAAAACTAATGAAAACAAATGTCTACCTTGGGGGTGGATGGAAAATATGTTAATATCTTGTATAATCAGTAAAAATGTCTTTTGACAGAAAAAAACTCACAGAATATTGGCAGTTTTTCAGCTATGATAAATTATTCAGTGTATCATCAGTGCAAAATTTTCCCTTGGTCACTTTCCTTTTCCTAACTCTTTTCACTTTCTTCACTTTTCCACCTCTCTGACCTTGTCTCTGTTTGTCCGTCCTTGCAGAGTCCCAGAGGGACAGCAGCGAGTGGCGGCCTGCTATTTAAACCTGATGAGTCACATCAAGACTCTGTACCTGGCTTACTGCTCCAGCCACCCGTCAGCTGTCTGCATCCTGACTGACCACAGGTCAGCCCCAGCACACACAACAGCAAAACAGCCATACATTACAATGCCAGGGAGACGTCCTTTCTATGGCATTACAAATGTCAGAGGGGAAAACTGAAATGGACACTGTAGACTTACCAAAATGTCACTGAAGTTTCAGTCTGAAATGCTGCATTTTTAAAATGGCTTTAGATTGACTTAAATGTCCCTCGTGGTGCTGGATATTAGTTTTAATATGAAAACCCAACATGCCCTTAAACTTTATTTTTCCACTGATGTTTTCCAAATAGTTTTATTTACCTGTGAAAAGTTGACATGGATTATTACTGAGTGACTAGTCTGGCTACCTCATGAGCTACTGATGAGGTGTAGTTCATTTTTTTATCCAGAAGGTGTCAGCCTCTCTATCTGTAAATGACCAGGAGGTTAATTGATGTCCCTGTGTGCTAAACGTTTCTGTCTATCCATTTATGATTCGAACGGTCTGATCTAAAGGCAGTGGGACACACTGTCATGGATCTGTGCTGCACAGATCATAGATCATTGTGAAATAGCAGAATGACCAAGGGGCCATTTTAATGAAGTGGTTGTTCAGATTCTACACTGAGATGTGCAAAGCAAGTTGAATTAGAAACAGGAAGAAGCCAACTGTTGACAGGATGTATATAGTTGTGGTTAAAGACAAGCGAGAAGCAGTAGCTGTTGAAGGAGCATTTATTTGTCACATTTACTCAGTGTTACCAGACCTTGATGCTACAGGATACTGCATGACTGAAGGTCTGGATCAAAGAATGTTAGTGCGCTCGCTGAGATGTGAACATGTTGAGGTTTCAAAAACCAAACTGATGACCTAATTTATATTTGCCTGTCAAACTGTGTTAACACCATTACAGTTGCTTGCTATGTGCACCACAGGTATGATACTCTGTCATAGTGTTGGTGCGACACTGAGAAACTTTTTCTCTTTCCAAACCTCATCAGTACGAGGTTTATTTTCCATAAATCAACCCAAATATTAAATGTATCATCAAAACTGTCATGTTAAAAGGAAAAAACTTCAGTACACTGTTTATTGACCTGTTGCCATGCCAAGATGCATTTTTTTTTCTTATTTTTAAGTTACATGAGGACAAACTGCAGCTTTGTCTATATTTAAACTGAAAGGTATGTCTTTCATTTACATCGTTTTACTATTTATACGTGTGTGTGTGTTTTACAGTGAAGAACTAGACAAGTTCATGGAGAGCCAGGGAGCCACTGCTCCGGGGATCCTGACCCTGACCTCCAGCCTCAGTAAGGCCTTCATGAGGCTCGACAAATACCCGACCCTGCTGCAGGAGCTGGAGAGACACGTGGAGGTACAGCAAGACATGTCTAAATTCATACTGAAATAATATTTAATATTACTTCATAGATAAATAAAGAATTAAAATGAATACTGAAAAGTGTTTATATATCTGTACTCTACAGTACATTTTACAGTTCATTCAAATTCTGTTGACTTGATTAACCTCCGATAACTAAATGTCTGCTGAAATCTGATAACGTATATTAATGGGAAGTACAAATGAACGAGTCTTTCTCCCCCCCATTTCCGTCTTCCTTTTTATACCACAATTGCTCATGTAGTTCATTCATACTTGTACATAGTCAGAGCATCCTGAGGTCCAGGGAACAACTCCTGTGTCAGAGGACTGTCCACACCTGGTTCTAGGCTTCATTATTTTTTTAATTGCCAATTTTCAAGCGCTAAACAAATCTGCTGCATTTGATTTGATGTGTTGCTTGTTTCCACTGCAGGAAGCCCACCCAGACTACACCGACATCGTGAAGGCGACGGCAGTATTCAGGAGCCTTGTGGTAAGTCTGGTAATCCAGAGATCTATTCTTGCTTTAAACTGGATTTAAACTAAATAATCAATCTTTGTTCATCTCCACCAAAGATTAGGCTTCCTCTTTTTTATCAGTGCACAACAATCCTTACATAAACAACCTGAAAGCTGCTCATGTCAATTCTCAATTACTGGAGAGTACGTCTTCTTGATTTTTTGTTTTTGTTCAATCATTCACTTGTTGATTCATTTATTTTCTCAATAAAATCCATGAAATAGCTCTGTCAAAGGTTAAAGTGAAGCCGTAATAACACTGCTTGTTCAATTTATGCTGTTCTCCGATCAGAAGTAATCATTAAAGAACTAAAGAATTCAGTTCAGTCCTATGAGTTTCTTTTTCTTTTATTGACAATTTTATTGTCACTTTCACTGTCAGTCATGCGACAGACAGTGAAATATAACCTAGCACCTCACAGCCCTGTCTCAGCCTTTGCGCTGCTGCATGTTGGGTGATAATGTTCTTACCCACTGAGTGGGTGTGAACGGAAATGCCATCTCAGAAGAGTAGAAAAGGGCAACTGCATTGTACCTGAGAGAACCTTAATTCTGATGTACAGTTTCCCTTATAGAACTCTTGAGTCTGTGTAAGACCAGATGAGGTGACTCACACATGTTTCTTCCGCAGGGCTGCAGAGGAAAAGGGGGGGGGGTGCACAATTCTGACAATTGTAATTCATAAGTCTAGTCGTGTGTGTTTTGAATGTGTGGTTGGGTGGGCAGGCTCTGAGAAATGCTAGTTACGTGTGCAGTACCATGTCTGCTTTTTTCTATACTGCAAAGTGGAAAATAGATGATGTTGCATTATATTTGTTTCTGCTTGAACAGGGAGAACCCCTGTCGAGCACCTGAAGATTTACTAGTTGGTGTTGCAGGTTACTCCTTGTAACTCTGACAATTAATTTAAAAGAAACACATCATCATTAATTCCAAAGCCATATATCCTTAATGGAAAGTCCTTTGAGGGAAATCCTCTGCTGCTCATTAGTCAGTATTCCTAAAAGGAAAGAAACCACATTGTTTGCATCTCATTTTTGACATTATGCGACTAAAACTCCCTAATTCCAGAAATCTGTAAATAGATAGATTGATAGATAGACATACTTTATTTATCCCCGAGGGGAAATTCTTGTGTTCAAGCAGTAAAGACATGTGCAAGTTCAAGTTCTTTTTTACATATAAACAGCATACATGTAGGATGGTAGTTGAGTTGTTCAGACAGAGCTCAGTTGAGGCAAAGTTAAAACAGAGGAGACTGGGTTGACTGTTTCAGTAATCAAGAAGCATAAAAACATAAAAAAGTGCAAAGAGTAGAAGTGGTACAGTGATAAAGTGATAAAACAGTAGTAAGTGATACAGTGATGTGAAAAAGAGATTAGCTACTATATACAATCTGCAAGAATAAGAGTTACTGATACCAAATACCAGTCATTATAAATAGCAGCAAATATATTAAATAAATATACCATGCAGATGGGAATAGGAGACTAATGTACACATGCTGTGCAAATATATCTGTCCAGAGCAGCCCTGTGCATTCAACACTTTCAGTGAACTTTTAAATCATTTGTCATCTTCATAGACTGATATATATGTTTGTGTGTGTTGGTGTTTAGACGCAGTGCCAGGAGCTTCGGAAGCGCAAGAACCTGGAGCTCCAGATCTTGTCAGAGCCTGTGCGGGGCTGGGAGGGAGACGCCATGAAGAGCCTGGGCCACGTAGCCTACATGTCCCAGGTTCATGTGAAAAATGGGTCCAGTGAGGTGAGAGAGATGTGCCAGGTTTGACGCAGCTCAAATCAACCAGAACTAACATCAATTGTCATTCTAATTGTTAGGAATTGGCTGTCTAAGGCAAATGTGAGTAAGAGTCCCACAGGTTTGTTCAGTCAAAGAGGATAGAAAAGGAAAAGTGTTACAGGTTTTATTGCATTTCTCAGCACAAACTGTCTCAGAGTGCACAGACAGGACTGAAAGAATGACTTCTGTGTGTCTGATTTAAAAAAAAAAAAAATAAAAGTAAAAAATACAGATCCATGAATTCTTCCATCTAAAACACACGGTACACCTTCAGTGTAACCTTTTTTTAAATTACCACATTTTTAATGTGTGATTTAATTGAGGTGATTGACTTGAGTCATTCATCAGCAAATCTGCACTACCAGCATGTTTTGTATCGGATCTTTATTTTTAGCGTTTTCTGCTAGAATGAGTCTGAATGTGGTGTTAGATGCAGGTAAACAAGCAGAGGAGGTGTGAAAAACACGTTGAGGAGAAGCACAAAGTTTTTGCTTATGCAAAGTCTCACTGTTAGGGGTGAATCACTGCAGTTTCTCCATTTCCTGAAACATGAAACTTTAATCATCATCTAAATGTGTTCCCACAGTCCACCTCATTTGCTGGCGTTAAAACAGAAACAAGGGTTTTCCACAGACACGACTGAAAAACCTGCTCCTTCTTTGTGTGGTGTCTGTGTAGGAGTTGGCTTTTATTTGATGGTTGGAAGAAACATGCTTTTGTATTCACTTTCTTTTTATCAGTGCCAACCAATTTCCAACCACCATACCAGTCACCATATTTAAGATTAAGATCTTAAATTTGTTTTACAACTTCACCTTTTCATCCGCTCAACCTTTTTTCCATTCATATAAAGAGCAACGGCTTTGCCAAACCTGTATCTAGTTGCTAACCTGAGCTACATTATGCTAGGGTCAGCTATAATGATGGCTTTGCTGTTAGTAGGTGCAAATTAAACTGGTACGCACATTATTTTTTTACCAGCAACATCATGAACGTTTAAAGCTGCCGCCACCCTCCTTTGCGTGCCAATATACGAAAACTGGACATCATGAAAAACCGTTGTTTAACCAGAGAGCTAACTGTTGCCACTCATGTGTGCATGAGCTCATCAATCAAATCTTTTTTTGTTTCTCTTTTACAGGAGAAAGAGGAGCGCTATTTAATGCTTTTTCCTAATATGTTGGTCATGCTCTCCGCCAGTCCCCGAATGAGTGGATTTATTTATCAGGTGAGCTGCAGCATGTGTTTCCATTATTAATAGAAAGGAAAACTTAAAAGAAACTTTATGTGTGACCTCTGGTGGATGCTCACCATCTGCTGGGTTTAATAGCAACATTTACTATTTAACAAATCCAAAAATTCAAGGTTCATGTAAGAATATGTATATTTTTGGATGTAATCCTACTAATTACATGCATTTCAGCCTATATCAACATATCGTTGCCTCCGTGTATGACATGGTGTCTCATTTCCTCCCCTTTGTTTGTTCCATTCAGGGAAGACTGCCGCTGACGGGCACCACTGTGACGAGACATGCCGAGGATGCGGACAATGCTCACTTTGCCTTTGACATCACAGGTTTGAATCTGAAACTCCTCTCCCTCAGTTTGTGGAAACAGCAGTAATACATAATGATAATATATGATAATGAGCTGATCTTGAACAGCTTTGGGAATGTGTCTTCAAAACTCACAAGTTCTCACAGTTGTAGCTCAAATCACGGCTAACTAGAGCTATTTTCAGACGTTCAGCTTTGCACCTTCTCTGGAGTTTGTCTTTCACATATGAAGAAGGCAGCAGGAGATTTTCAGGGTCCGACACATTCACAACAACAGGGTAGTAGAATGTGCAGTTTACTGTTGAACTCATGTTTTCTTTGTTTACAGCACATTTACATCGGCATCTGTTCTTATCACCAAATGCTCTTGAATCTAAATCAGTTTCCAAGTTGACATCCTCAGCTGCATATTCTACCCCATCTTTATTTATTTATTTATTTCCGGTTTTGTGTGCGTTGCGTGTTATAAACGCCATCAACACACCCGAATGCTTGCTGTGAATTTATCTAGGGATAATTCTTCTGTATTGTCACATCGGCTCACTCGGATATTTGTCGGAGAATTTCCAAGAAATGTCTGCAGTAGCTGACTCTTCGAGCTCCAAATGCCACCTGCGTAATGTGGGGTTTGTATGTGTTGTTTCTTGTCAGCTTTTTGTAACTTTCACTGAAGTCTGTCTATGTGTGTTTGTGCGTGGGTTTGTGTGTGTATTACAGGAAGCATGATTGATCGAATTACCGTGCTCTGCAGTAGTCCCCAGGAGTTGCAGGATTGGCTGGAGCACCTTCAGCCCTTTACCAAAGGAGGCAGCCCTGTGGGCACCATTGCAAAGGTTAGAACGCACATACATGCATGCAGGCACACACAAACACCCACACACCCACACATACAGCATAGAGTCAAAACTGTAGTGAAACTGAACCATACACAAATGTGAAAAACCACTGAGTATTTTCTCACCTCGTCATGACGAACATTACTTTCACACTTTCTTTGTACAGACAGCATTTTCAATTGTCATGCACTTGCTTCTCTTCTTTCCTTTAATTGTTGCATATAGACTGTGGAAGGAAAGCCACTGAGCATTGTCGGTACCCCAACTCACCTGTCCCACCTGGGCAGCCTCAGCGCCATCAGTCGTGGCCCCCTGGAACCACCAAAGATCAGCAAACCGTGGTCGCTTAGCTGCCTTCGCCCCGCGCCTCCCCTCAAACCCTCTGCTGCACTGGGCTACAAAGAGGTAGGAGTCAGAAAGCTGTACAAACAAAACCACACTTGCTGGATATGCATCTACGGTAAGCAGTCCTGCATTGAACTGTTACCGAAACCAAAAGAAGTGTCCTCACCCACGTTCCCCTCTGTCCGCTTTTCTATCTCTATTTGGATTCAGACCTCCAGGCGTCTGTTTTACACAAAGATCTTCACCAATCAAGTGAAAGTCCCACACACACCCTTTAATCCATTAAAATGACTGATATCGGCCTCTGATCAGAAGTATAAGATACAAGTGCTGCAGATAAATGAGGTTGTGGCTCTTGAAATCGTGAACTGTACTGTGCTGTGATGCAAACAGGAAAACCCACATTTAAATTAGTTTTCTGAAGAATTTGTGGGCCAGAAAGGAGCAGCAAACAGTTTCGTTATTGTTAATGTTATTATTATTATTGTTGAGTAGTAGATAGAGTCAGAGTTCTGCATGGGTCCATATTTGCAAACTGGCTGAACCATGTTAATTTAATGTTTTACGCGAGTAACCAACCCAAACTGTTGAAACGTCCATGTGTGTCTAAAACACAGCAGGTTATGCTGTAGTTCTCAGGAAGTTAATTCCAGTAACAGCAGAATTTTCTGGGTCTGACACTGTGTGAACCTCCAGTTACCATCTTCTTGTGTTGGATGTGTGTTGACGGCCACTCTGAAGCGCATGTGGGAAGCTGACGCTTTCCTTCTTAGTCAGCAATAAAAACTTTCTATCATGAAGAACGCCCACAGGTTGGTCATGCGTTGGATACACAGCATATTTACAGTGTCTGTACCTTTTAGACACTAAATAAACATATTCTTCTTCTCCCACTGGGAGAATAAAACAGGTTTGCGGCTCGCTGGGTCTTTTTCGCTGCCCCGCAGAGATCACATGCATAGTCCTCTGAATGCATGACCTTCTTGCTGCTCACCATTTCTCCAGATTAATTTTTTTAATGCCTTTTTTTTAAACATGTAATCATCACCCTATACTAAATAGACAAACAGTAGGTGAACTGCAGAGGGGGTGTAAAAATGTTCACCACCAACTCTCTATCACATCTGTCTCTCATCGTATTTTTCATGCACATTTCCTCTTTTTCTCTCTTTCTCCATCTTGCCTTCTGTAGAGGATGTCTTATATCATGAAGGTAAGGTTAGAACACACTCTGTTTCTATCTCTGTGTGTCTCTGTGTGTGTCTGTGTGTGTGTTATCCCCAGTGTTGAGCCGGTATGCCATCGCTCTGTGTGCTTCACTCCTCCCTCATAGTCATCTTGTTGGTTTCCTGTTTTCTGTGGCTCTGCGTGTCTGCCTTTTCCTCCCTCTCTCTCTCCCTCTCCCCCTCTCTCTCTCTGAGTCAAAGAACTACTCACCAAAAAAAAATCTGATGCTAAAGTGTTGTAATTCTTTCTCGGGTACTATTTTTGGAAATGTGGGTACAGAGTACAATGTACAGTCAAATGTCATTCAGCCCCAACTGTTACTTGCAAATGAATCACATTTGAATAATCAGGAGCCTGAAAATGCTGTCAAAGCTGTTTCTCGAAAACTTTCCCATCCATAATGGTCTGCAGTTTTATCAGACATTGCAACAATGTATAAATCCATCATTCGCCCAATGGCTTTAAACAAAACTCCAAACTCCTTGTTTATGTTAGCATGTGAATTTCTTCAAATTAAGTAATTCAGCTCCACAGTGATGTAGATATCACAGACCATGAGCTCTCTACTACTCCTCTATTCCAAGCAATTAGATGACTAACCAATCTTTGCTCCAAAATGGCAGCATGAACCTGACACACCACCGTGCTCCACTGGCCCAACCACTGTGACACAGGCCTCAGAAAACCAAGCCTAATAAGGAAAGATCCTCAGATCCTCTGTTCAGCTGAATTAACGTGACGCCCTTCAAAGCTTCTAAAGAAAATGATTCTGTCAGTTACTTCGGATCTGTGGTCGAGGATGCACCATGAATGGGTTTACTACCTGTTTCGCTCTGTTACGTCTTTTTCCTAGTGACATCATGTAAAGTTTAATAAGAATATAGATTTGGTATAAGTTAAGGCACAAGGCAGCATCTTGACTTCCTTGCCTGGCTTTGACAGCAGATGTTATTTGACATGATAAGTGCCTTGGAAAAAGAAGTGGTATTAGTTTTTATCAGATTTTTGTTTTTCTTCATGCTTTTGCTTTTCGTCAGGTAGGATTCATATCAGCACAGATGGATTAGATGAGTGCTTCGTTCAGTCATCACCACATGCTTGCTGCCTTGTTCGTTGATGGTATTTTGTTCTTTGATGTTGTTCGTTCATTAGGGACACGCGTCCCTGTGAGCTTGCATTCTGTTTGGTTTGAAGTCTTGGCTTTACAGGTGTGTAGCGGTGTGTGTGTGTGTGTGTGTGTGTCTGTGTGTGTACACGTGTGTGTGTGTGTGTGTTTTAAGACTAAATTGAATGTTGCACTCCCCCAGGACTCCAGCAAGAGCCCGCGGCCCATGAAGAAGTTCCTGCCAGGCAACAGGAAGAAAGAGCGGAAGCACTCAGACGACGAGGTTCAAATAAGGAAAAGTATGAGTTTTATCTTTTACAATTATATGGAGGTTTATAGAAACTTCCTAAAACAGGCTTATATTGCCTTATGAATAGATTTTTTGTTCTTTTGTGGTTTAATGCTCTTGTGGTATTTTCGTCCATCAAGGACGTTATGTTTTTGCCCCTGTCCAGCATTTGATTGGTTGGTTTGTCAACCAACTAACACACACACTGGATTTCCACACGTAGGACTGTTTTTCACTTTTGTTAACTTTGTCTTGCATTTGTGAATAATAATTGTGGATTTTGGTGAAAAAAATCTGGTATATTTTGAGGACTGATGTCTGTGAGTGTGGGAAATTCAGTGCGGATGAACTTTTAAGATGACTGTTCTTGGTGGAGAAATACGCTCGATTATTAATAGAAATTATTTTGATTTCTACAGTTGTTTGATATCGACACTTTGAAATTAAACCTCGAACAGAAGTAAGTTGAGCTTTCGATATCGCAGGCGTCAGCTTGGTCAGTGCAACAAACGCTAATTCAAGTGTTGGGTAGATCAGCTGTGTCATCTTGGAAATCCATAGTCTAGACCTGAGGCCCCTGTTTACATAAATAATATAGAGGACGGTGCACATTGTAATCTTATGTTTACTGCACCAGTACAATGTGTGAAATTTGACACCTCCGCCAAAGGTGTTATGTTTTCATTGGTGGTCGTCAGTGTTTATGATTCATCATCTGCTTTTGTCAGGCACGGCTGCTCTGGAGGAGGATGCTCAGATCCTGAGGGTGATTGAGGCATATTGCACAGGAGCCAGCCTGCACCAGACCACCACAGGTGTGTGTGTGTGTGTGACAAATTGTTTCTTTAATGCCTCTTTATACAGCACGTCCATAGCAACTAATATAGACATGTGTTAACACATTCCCTTTAATTTGTCTGTGTTTATATGCAGCGGTGCGGAAAGAGTGCATCCCTCAGGTGCTCCTACCAGAGGAGGAGAAGATCATTGTGGAGGAGATGAAGAGCAATGGGCAGACGGTCATTGAGGAAAAGTAAGCATTATTATTACTTTGAAAAATAGGCTGTCATTTACTTGTTGTACTAACAGCGACAAAAACTGATTCGTCATTGGTCGAATTTGGATCCTAATTGTCTCTGTAATTAGATTCAGAAATATGATATTGATCCAACTTTGGTTATCAGGGCCTGGATCTTTTCTCAGGATGACCTCGGCTCAGAAGCCAGTGTAACCTTCATGTTCAAATGTGTTGCCATATAATGACATTACTACCTGCTTATTTATTGGGCAGCTAAAAATAAATCTGGATATTTTCCTTCACCCCTCACTGTGTGTTTGTTTGTTTCAGGAGCCTGGTTGATGCTGTGTATGCTTTAAAGGATGAGGTTCATGAACTGAAAAAGGTGAGTTTCAACTAATGATCACAACTTTTCTTGTACTACAGTATATGTTTCCTTCTTTTCCTGCTTTGAGATGTAAAGTCCTTATAGTCGCTTATAAACTGTGTATTAGATGTTCCTATGCTGCTTTTAAATGCTAAACTCTGCCTGTTTATTTGGGTTTCTTGCAACAAGGAACGATTTCGCAGTTTGTTAAATGTTGTAACTGTCTAAATGTTTTACAGGAGAATAAGTGGATGAAGCAGTTTCTGGAGGAGGAGCAGAAATCTCGCAAAGAGCTGGAGCGAGTGGTCCGAAAACTGGCTAAAACTGGCCAGAAGAATGATTGTTCTTGGGATGACGGTGGCCACTGAACGCATCCCTGTGATCATCCTCATTCTAGTGTGCCTGCGTGTGTGTGTGTGTGGGTACCTTTTACTGTGTGTAAGCATGCTTGCAGAGGGACAGGAAGGTGTGCCTGTATATTTGTGAATCTGTCTATGTTGCGTCTCCGTATTTCAATCACACCACAGCAGAGTTGGACTCCCTCTCTGACAATGGCACTTGGAGACTCTTGGCTTCAAGTGCTGGAGCTTAATTTGACGTCATTGTGAAATCCATCTTCCTCATCCAGACCCACTGGATGAGAGATACAAGTACGCTTCCTCCTGAAGCACATCAGCTAAACAAAGACTGGTAAAATGGGATGTTACAAACATACCTCCTCTCGGCTACTGGCACTGTGAACCTGCCCCAGCGAATAGAGCAATTTTGGATGAGGACAAAACAAGTTCTCTGCTGCTTCTCTTGCTTCAGTTAGCAATAGAGTTCTAAGCCATCAAGTCCAATAGGTTTTCTCTTGCATGCACTTCGGTTACCAAGGGGACTTCTTCTTCTTCTTTTTGCATAATGATGTTCTTTGTCCTATTTTATTTGCCACAAGGACCGACTGTGGGGAAATCTATTGACCTTTCATCAGTGTGTGTACTTGGCATTTTTTAGACATTCACATTACACATTTCCTGGCTGTTTTTGTGGCGTTTAAAACAAATCAACCAGGTTCAGCTCATTGTCTTAAATTCAGTTGTTTCCAAATGCAGCCCATGACTGTAAATTTAAAAACTGCATGAATGTACAGTGTTTCTGCAGAACAAGTTCTGCATCAGAAATGTGACAAGATATTCAGATATTTAGTCCAAAGCTATCAGGGATGCAGCCGCAGTAAAACAGTAAAGGCGTAACTATGTATTATTTCATATAGAAGAATACACAAATATTGACATAGATGTCTCCCCTACTCTTCTTACTAAAGTATATTCAATCATCATTGTAGTCATTGACATAGCCTGGCTTTATTTTGGATTTTTAAAAAGTATTCTTTATTTATTGCTCACCCAAGCATTTCATTGTGGTGTTAGCCTTGTAGATATAGTTTTGCTGCCTTTTACATCTGTTTGGATTTTGTTTTATATAAACCACACTGATGGATAAAGGCAGAGAATATGTCCTTGTTTTGGCCAAGGGAAAAGAGGATGAGGTTTATTATCACAAAAGAGGAAACACGTTACTTAATGAGTCTGGGGTGACAATTCAAAGGTTTTTTGTTCAGTCTCGTACAGAGCTGACAGAGACAGACTGAGGAAATAAACAGTGAGATTCATTCGATGGTCTAGAGTAGAGCCGAACTGTCTAAGTGCCTCCCAAAGGGGTCCTTAAACTTATAACGGAGTTTAAGACCAGACTGGGACTAAATGCATGATTTATTTTGAAAGTGTCAGAGATGGATCATTGTAATATTTTAAGGAGAATGGCTCAAAGTCAATGGGCGTATATGGGGTCTGAAATATGAACGGGGCTGTGATTTAAGATGCAGCCTCTCAGTGAGGACCCTCGGCGGTACATTTCCTCAAGAGGTTGAGCGTGTGCACTGTCAACACTGTTATCTATTCTCGCAGCGCTGCAGAGCAGCAGTGGATGCTATTGAAATGCAATAAGTGACTGCTTTACTGATTGACCTCTGGGTCAGTCCCAGCATGGGGGGCCAGATTTGGAGAAATTGCAATAATGAATGAATTAACCCAGTTTATTAACCAAAAAAATAGGGCCACAGCATGTGGCTCAGTCACAGTTAGGTTGTTTATTACGTTCAATTTGCCTTTATTTAATCAAGTCTCTTGGTTGATGTTGATTGTTTAAAGATCACTGACAATGTCCCAGTTTTCATTACAAGTCATATAAAATGTTATAATATTGTTAAACTGTACAATCCACGATGGGAATCGGTTTTTTCGCATGCACCTCTTTACCACGAGGTCAGAGCACTGTGTAGGATACAAGGCAGCACTGGTACATCTCTAGCGGAGTTGCTGTCTTGCTCAAGGGCACGAAAGCAAGGTCAGTTCTTACATAGCTGCTGGGACTGATTCAAACCGCTGTTCCTACTCCAACATGCAGATCCTCCTCCGTGCTACACAGACCCTGCTGCCTGTGCAGATGTGTGACTGTCTCATCATATCTTTGCTGTCGAGATTAACATTATTGCTCGTTCTGTATTTTGAATGGTTTTCATTGAGTCTAACATACTGTAGTTTTCAATTCCCGAAAGCCTCATTGAGCACTTACTAGTAGGAAGGGGCTGAACTCCGGTTTTATCTTGTTTGTTTGAAATCACATCTCCAGACCACTGTGTGTAATGTTTTTGAAAAGATGTTCTATGCAATTATTGTTGTTGTTGCAAAGTATTGTTATTGCTTTTTTTTCTAGACACTCTGTTACTTTATGTTTGGTATGGTCATCCTTTTATTAAAAATTTAATATAACGTGGAGTTTAGCATCAATGTCACAAAGTACAAACATTGGAACAACGCTTCAACCACACAGAGTTGGGGTTCGGTTCCCTTTGACATGGAAAACCCGCCTGGTTCTTCCTTTTCCACGCAACATTCAGCAGTTCTGCGCTTCAGGAATTTGTACGTTGTTCAGATTCGATCGCAGGAAACTCTTCACAGGATGGAAGGAGTGACTAGAATAGATGACATCCTGTGAGAGATTATCGCCTCTTCATCTAAACGCACCTCCAAAAATAATTACATTTTCCATTCTCTGCAACTCATCCGAAACACTGCAGGGTTTTTTTTTTTTATAATGTCTGAGTTGCTGACATCAAACTTGCTCTTGCACTGCATTTGACATTTGATGGGTGAGAGGGAGGTAGAACTTTCTTTTATAATTTGTATTTTTTTAACCTAATATTCACCAAGGAGGTTAAAGTTACTTCTAATTAATACCCAGAGGATACGGAAGAGCCAGGAATTAAATAAAAACTGATATTATGATTTTTAACATGTTTCAGCCCCTTCATTTACTGGGAATCCAGAATACTGAGAATCAAGCTGTAGGGCTTAAGGTCTTTTAATATTTATAGGCAGCCATTTATCTAAATTTAATTTTCTACCGTATATAAAAATCAAAAGGCGATGTCACGTAAGGTGAATGTGTGATACAGTGAATCTTAAATCTATAATAATTTGTGTCGCTGTGAGGAATCAAACTGTTCCAGCAGATGATAAAGAAAAATGAAAAGTTAATTGTGATGGATCACCCAATGTCAGAAGTTCCATGAGTTTTTAAACAACTGATTCATACACCACATGGAAATACCACATGCCTGGAAAGAAGGAAAAAATATATTGCAGAAGAAGAAAGTATGTAGCTTATATTTGAGAAACTGTCAGCAGTAAAACACAATACATTCAAATCAGCAGATGTCAACAGTGAAGTAGTTTCACACGTTGGTGTTTGTTGTACCACTGAAAACAATCTGCAGTTTGAGGCCGACAATTTCACACTGATCCGTTTTCATGAGGGTAGTTGTAGGGTAATTTTTAGTGGTAGCCTACGTCTGCAGTGGTCCTGTTTCTTGTGGCACAGCATCATGAGTGGTGCATCTTTTGTGTGGTTTCTTGTGTCCTAGAAAAGTATAACCATACTGGAACAGACTGACTAATGATACTGAGGGAAGGGTTAGGGTTACAGAAAATAAATTAATCAGTTTCATTTCAGAGTGGCCAGTGGAGCTCATCCAACCTCCTCTTTGTTAACCTGATGACTGGGTGATGACTTATCCAGCGCCTCAGCAATGATTCTCTATTTTGTGTTTTTTTTTTTTTTTTTTTATCTTTTTAAGGCCGTAGCAGAGTTATCTTAACTGGAAAAGTTGTGAATCATTCTGTGGGCTTGTGATGAAAATATAAACACATAAGCAGAATGAGTCACAGC